TTTTTGTTTATTCTTCGTAGTTTTCTTTTTTTTTAAAAAGTACTTAAAAATGTATAAATAATGTAAAATTAAATTGATTTAAACAGCCAATCATACGAAAGTCTTCCTACGAGGTTATTATAGTTTCAAACTTGTGACTTATAAGCGATAAAAGAATTTGGCGAAGTGACATAGGTAGATTTGGTTATTATGGCTTCAACTTATGACTCATAAGCAACGTAGGTAGATTTGATATATTCTATTATTTTGTTTAACTAGTCCTAATTTGATGGTTTTGTTTGTAATTAACCAATATAAAATACATGTTATAACGAATTTTGCATCGCTTTTTTTTTGCAAAAAAAAAAAAACAACTGAAAAACATTATTGATATAATTTAATTAAGTTTAAATAATGAACTTAATGACAACAAGTAATTTTATTTTTATTAGCTAGATGACGTATGTAAATACGTAATTTTCATTTCTAGTTCCGACTGTTCATACCGTTCCAACCTAACTTTCCGGATGATCATCCGATCCCAACCCAGTACACATTTTCTAGGTGCGCGTAGCTATTCTAATTATATATATAGTATTTGAATTTATATATCGATAGCATTGATAAAAATTCACATTCGAATTTATTGATTATTTATTTTATTTATTTTTTTTTGTATTATATATATTTATTAAATTGATAATTTATTTGTTCTAATGTTTCTCTACTTAAAATTTACATCGTAACCCAATTGTCTGAATAAAAATAAGTTTAAAATGTTTTTTTTTAAAGATTTTGTTTAAAATTAAACTATAGGATCATTTTTACCATTTTTTGAAAATTTATCAATTTTATCTTTTATAGTTTTAAAAATTTTAAACCTTATTGCTTTTTTAATAAAAATTAATTTGTCATTGAGTTCTTTTATCCTCTTTTTCTTTTTCTTTATCTTCTATTTTTTTTCCATCGAGTTCTTTATCTTCTTTTTCTTCATCATTGAGTTCTTTATTTTCTTTTTCTTTATCATTGAGTTTTTTTTCTTCTTCATCGATTTTTCTATTTTCTTCTTTGAAATTAATGTCTCCTTTGAGTTCTAATATCTTTTTAATTTTTTCACTAAAATATTAATGGTATTTTCTTTAATTTCAAGTAAATCTTTTTTGATTATTTTCTGTATTCTTTTTCATTGACACAATAGTGTTTTGATGGCTATATTTATACTTTCATTGGGTTTGTTACTTCTATTTGCTATATGTATAAAGTAATTAATTAGATTTTTTAATGTTTCTTTTATATTGTTAATTTCTTTTATGATTTGTCTGTTAATAGATTGATCAGATATTATTGTTAATATTTGTATTAATCCTTCCAATTTTTTATTGATTCTATCTATTTCTGCTATTAAGAAATTGTAATTTAGATAAAATGAAATAATTGTTCTTATTTTTTCTGGTCTATTATCACAGATGTGTTCAACTAATCTACTGATCGATAAGATACAAAAAGCAAATGTTAGTTTTGTGGTAATAAGATCTTTACTAAACAAATAACCCATTACAATTGCGGGAAACATGATTTGAATTATTATTACCGAAGTATTGCAAATTTTTAACAGATAATAAACCAATCTACTTTCTAATATTTTTTCAAAAGAACCTTCAAAAAGACTTCCAAAAAGACAGTTTCTTGTATGAATATAGATGTAGTTAAATAAACAAAAAAAAAAGATGATTGCAATCCATAAAAGACATGTAAAATTTATGATCAATGATGTACTATTATATTTACTACAAAGGCTATAACCAAAATTGTTTAAACAAAATTTTACCAATAGTATCTAATGTATCAGAATTGGATTGGACATCAAAATCTCCAGTAAGAAATAGATCATGTTTTAACATTGAGAAAAGAATTAAAAAAATAATTAAAATATAAACTGAAGCTTTTGAACAATAGTATTCTTTTTCATTTTTAGGTTTAAACAAATTTTCTCCTTTTAAATGAATATAAAATATAATAATAAAAAAATAATAATTGTACAGGTTACAATTATAGTAAGTATTTTATTAGATTCAGAATAATTTGAATACCCTTCGAAAGCATTATACAAAAAATAAATATTGATAAATGAAAAGATGATAAAATCATCAAAAATATTGATAAAGGAAAAAAGTTTTTTCTTATTGTCTTCAAATTCTTTGAAGAGGCCAAGTATTAACGTAGTAAGAAATACAGTAACGATAGAATCAATCGTATCTTTGAGAGGATTATAATCATTTGATGACATTATTTGATGAATGTTTAATTTTTTGCTAGTAATTAGTAATTCTTTCTCAGAGAAAATTAATATTTGTTATAATTGATTTTTATAAAGAATTATTTGTGTATAATATAATAAGATGCTAACTCTAGGTGCATTTGATGATAATTTTGAAAAATTCAGCACCTATTTTTCATTTTCTTTATTTGGTCATACTTGATATGAAGATAATAGTCAGAGAATATATCACACAAACTGTGACTATTGATTTTACTATTATTATTACCATTATTATTGAAATATTCTGTATCACAACAGTTTTTTTATTTACACAAATTAAGCTGAGCACATTTAAATTAAATAGACTTAAATTATCGACTTCAATAAAATATTTACATATACACTTTTACTGATATTGATGATTTAATCTTTATTTTGTTCTTATTACAGTATAATTGTAATTTTTAGATTTCTCACACTATACGTATGGTGAAGAAAACCTAAAAACTTTAATCACTTTATATAGAATAAAGATTAACTAACTTATTGTAAATAAACTAAATTTGTCATTCTCAGCAGCATGCTATTATATACATATTATTATTTGCTTATTGTTTTTATGCAAAGAGATTAAGAGTTCTTGACTCTTGGCTTATTGAGATTGATAATTTAGGAATTACGTATATTTTCAATATGATACTAGTTTATGCATCATCTCTATCTAGAATATTGAGGTTTTAAAATTTCCTGCACCATACATACGTATGGTGCAGGAAATCCAAAAACTTTAATAACTGATATAGTATAAAGGCTTGCTCATTGAAGATAAACTAAATTTGTCATCTCAGCAGCATGCTATTATGTACATACAGCTTTTGTTTATTAGTTTTATGCAAAGAGATTGAGAGTTCTAAACTTTCACTTATTAAGAGAAATTTTATTTTCAATATACTACTAGTCTATACATAGAAATATTAAGGTTTTTAAATTTCTTGCACCGTGCGTATAAAGTACCCTGCGTGACAAATAATGTAGATCAATTTTAAAAATATTATTTATACATGCTTATTTTTTGATACAAGCTAATACTGTATTTGTGATTGGATAATTACATCACGATTAACGTGACCATATATGACCTTACTTGGATAGGCGCAGAGACGTGAGAAAGTATTAACCCTAGGTGCTGCACAAAAAATGCGAAGCAAATCCAGGGTTGTAAAATTATGGTAATTTATTGTAAGTTACCAAAATGGTAAGTTACTGGTAAGTTACTGTAAGTTACCATAAAAGTAATCTATGCTTCATTCTGAAAGTATCTGTGCTTTATATCCATTAATTGCCTACTATTACAAAATTTTCTGATAATGTATGGACTTTTAAATGTGTATTTGGTATCCTACTATGGTAACTTATAGTAATTTATCGTAATTTACCGGTAACTTACCATAGTAAGTTTATCACTAACAACCCTGGGCAGATCCTCAATTTTGATTGGCTAACGGCCGAGGTTCTTCAAAATGTTGGTCCGCATTACAAAATTGGTTACTAATTTCTGGCCAGAATTAGAAATTCTTAAAAATAAGCCCGCATTGTAGTAAAATTGGCCCAGGAACAATTTTCACTTGATAGGCAGCTATGATTTTATTAGTAAAATTATGAGTAATTCTGGCCTATTTTAGATCATCACTCTTAGCCAATCAAAATTGAGGATCCACCATGCATTTTTTGTGTGGCACCTAGGTTCAATGTGGGAAAATATAAAAATATCGATACTGTATCAACCAGCATAGTGCTGTAGTGGAAGTTTATTTTGATTGGTTGAGGTAAATATCCTTTTTTATATTGTCAATTGTAATTTTTAAAGTACTTTTAATAAGTAAAGAAAGTCACAACATATAAAATTTTTTTCAGTAATATGTAAATATTACGATGACTTAACATATTATTTTTTTTACCTTTAAATCTATTGTTTTCTAACAATTAATGCAATAGGATGCAAAAGATTGAGAAACTAAATTAGAGATGAAGGTTTTGAAAGGTCAGAAGGTATTTTGGCGACCTAAGCAATTAGTAAGTGAAAGTTTCAAGATTTTGCAGTTCTACTTTGTTTTCTATAAGTAAAAAGCACTACATATTTGAAACTAATATTCCAACTTTACTTTTTTATTATATTTAGATTATAAGTGGTTTATAAATACACGTTTTATAATAGCAGTATTTAGAAATATTTGTGTATGTAGCAGATTGTGTTGCGAAACTTAAGAGTATTTGTTGTAAAATAAATAGTATACTTATTGCGAAATGAATAATATTGTTTACATTGTGAATTATGAATAATTATGAACCCAAATTAATGTTTTTATGACTATAATATTCGCCTTTAGAAAGTATGACTAATTTTTTGAAAAGCTTCGTAAGTAATAAAATTTTATCTGAGGCATAGCTGATACTTTATTTGGAGATGATCTGCATTTTTCCAGGTATTTTAACAACTAATCAAAATAAACTTCCACTATGCTGTATCAACCAGAAATTTTTTGTATTACTGAATCATTTGCACAAAGGTTTTAAATTTTGACCAAAATTATTATAATTCTGGTCACAAAATATAGTATAATGTTTTACAACATAAATTTCACCTAAAATATGATGTCCCTGGATGATGGAATAACTTTCTTTATCAGTATAACACAGATCGTTTCTATTTAATAATATTAGCATATCGCTCGTGCCTCCGGTACGGGAACAAAAGTTTGTTTGAAGAAATAAATATAATGAAATTCTAAATAGATTATGACATGATTTCCTGAAAGTTATTTCCTAACACAGGGTAACAATTTGCTAAAAATATATAACTGCAACTAATCGAGTATTAACCCTATATCACATAGAGACCCTATGTTATATCAGGTAAGTAACCTGTTAATAAGTATCTTTCAGAGAATTAAGTACATCACAAGGTTATTTTTTTATAAAATCTACATATCAAATATAAATGTTATATAAAATCTATATAGCTTTATCAAGTTATATAAATGTTATATAAAATTTTTATTTAGATTTATAAACCTAATGTAGACTTACATAGTTGGAATTTTTATGTATGACTTAATATAATATTTATATAAATTTTATGTATTATTTAAATAAATATAAAAGTTATATAAATTCTATTTATATCTATATAAAATAAATTAATTTACTTTGGCTATTTCTCAAAAATAACAAGGTAATCAGTATTCGATATACTAAGTAAAAATGTTCAGCAGACCAGAAAACACTCTCCAAACGCCTATTTTAAGCTTTAAAATTTATTTCTAGCTTTAATATTTAGGTTGAAATTTTTTTGAAATTTTACATAATTCTACATAGATATATATATAGATTTATATAAATAGTAAAATCTACATTGGGTTATAAAGCTACATAAAAATTTTACATAACTCTACATAAAAATTCTACGTATAAAAATGACCTTTCGATCAATTTTAATTGTTTTTAGACTCGCCGATCTTGGGTCTGATATCAGTAACTAGATCTTCACGAAATTTTTTTAATTCGTCTTTAATTATACGGCGAATCACTTTATATAATTTTTAAAAATTGATTCATTGAGTCGTCATGTTTACGTTAAGATAATATGCAAAGTTTCAGAATTACTTTTGACTAGTGATGTTGGTCAGTTAAACGAACTTCCGCTAATAAAATTTTTCTTTCTTTCTGACGTCGTTTTCCAGTTAGAAGATCGTGATTTTCCTGCAGATCATGCAAAGAAAGGTAAATATAGTATCTACAGCAACTATATACAACTTTACAATAATTTACCTGCATTTCCGTAACGACGAAGAGTCTTTACGTAGAACAACAAAACATATTAAACTTTCGTTACGTGTTTTATTCATTGGAATAATCAATACAATTTGCTAATAAAAATTTACCCTCAGACCCGTTATTAAGGCGCTTGAGAACACCCTTTATCACGAACTTCCCAGTAAGTCATATTATTAATTTTTAAGTTGTGAAATTCATTGGGGCTAGGTTTTTTCCCTTGGCTGCTTGTATGAATTTTGTAAATGAATTATATTTTTCATATTTGGTGCATATAAGACCTTCACATAATGTTGCTCTGTAATTAAAATTTTTGGCTAGGTATTCTACAATAATTTCTTAAGCGGTTTAGAATTTCTACACCGCCTCCTTCGGACAATAATCCCATCATACGTACGAGCTCAATTCTAAGGAGGTAAAAGTGATTTGACAATAATGTGGATATGATTGCAAAGAGGTTTTTCAGTGAAGTAGCTACTAATCTTATAATAATTACGCTAGATCCACTATGAACTTCGGTTTTTTCTGGCCCATCACCTTTACTTTGAACTGAAGTCGATCAGCATCATGAAGCACAAGTTTATTTAGTTCCTCATTGTCGCGAATCTGAGCCTTCCATAATTTAAGCCTGTCTGCAGCAAAATTATTAAATTCTGGTTCCTTTTCCTTAATAGTTTACTTGAGTTGACCAATGCTCTTTTCTTTGTCAATTTCTATGGTCAATTGGGTTTCCTTGGATAAGATATAATGTAATGATATCTATTTATAGAAAAAAATGACCGAGAAAATAATTGAGGTGCCGCGCGGCAGATCCTCGACTTTGATTGGCTAAGAGCGACGATCAAAAATTAGGCCGGAATTACTCATAATTTTACTAATGAAATCGCAGCCGCCCATTGCCAATTTTACCATAATGCGGGCTTATTTTTAAAAAAAATCCCTGTTAATCCCACACCGTTGTTCTTAGCAAAGTTATGCTTAAAGGATCTATAGTTGAAAGTATAAAAATACTAAGTTAACTAGATTTTATATGTCAAACGAAGGAAAAAAAGATAGAATTAAAAAGCAACGATTCAGTAAAGATCGTGCACCAAGCATGTAGGTTTATTCCGAATTTTTTTAGTATAGTATAGTTAAAAAAATCTTGAAAAAAAGCAAAAAGCCGTAGTAAAATTTTTTTTTTAACTTTAAGCGAT